GTGCGTGTGTGTGTGTGTGTGTGTGTGTGTGTGTGTGTATGAGTGCATAGGGGCCAAGGCATGAATGAGGATATTTGTTTTTTAGTTGAGTGATTTTTAAAATGAATTGGTGGGAAGCCGGTACTCCTTTAGGGCTACGTGATTAAGCTATGTATGTGACGTAGGGCAAGTTGAGACATTACACTGGACCTATGGAATATAATGAAGACAACTTGCTTCCAAGAGAGTCAGAGATTAGTGGAATGTATCAAGATACCTGTCGACAAGTTTCCAGAGTTGCTGCTATCTATAGTCTATTGAGTTGTGTGGGCATCGTTCTCCATGTAGGAAGGATCTCATGGCTTCGCTCTGCTTTGAGTTCTTCCCCTCACCTGCACAGAAGTCATTGTTTTACCTGATGCTTTTCTTTTTCTCTTCTCCTCTCTTAAATGTGTGGCTTGACTAGGGGCGCTTGGCCTTGGCAGGCTTCCCTCCGGCTGAAGTCGTCCCATGGAGATGGCAGGCTGCTTTGCGGAGCCACCCTTCTGAGTAGCTGCTGGGTGCTGACGGCTGCTCACTGTTTCAAAAGGTGGGTGTCCCTCATTCCAAGCGATATGATTTCCTCTAGCTCACTCCATGCTCAGCAGCACTGAGGGTGGCAGAACCAGGCAATATGCCTTCCCTGTTTGCCCCGCAGTACTGTGAATATAAGGGAGGTGATGCCAGAAAGAAGAGCAAAGAGGCCTCAGGAAACAAACTGAAGTTCTCTGGTTAAAAGAAGTCTGGAACAAGGAAGAAGGGAAGGGAGGTTTGGGGAGAGGAAACAGATATAGGTGCTTTCTTCAAGTGTTCATCTAAGAATATGCAGGTGTAAAGACATATCACTGTACTTTGGAGGCTGAGGCAGGAGGATGATTGAGTTTGAGGATAGCATGAGCTGAACACTGAGGTTATCTTAAACAAACAAGCAAGCACACAATAAACACACACAATCTAACAAAAACATATCTGATGGAAATTCATGTAAACAGAGGGTTCTCTCCTGCCTACTAGTTCCCGAGAAAAACACACAGAAGCTTATGTTAATTATAAATGTTTGGCTGATGGCTCGGGCTTATTACCAGCTAGTTCTTACATTTAGATTAACCCATTTCTATTAATGTATGCTTCGCCATGTGGCCCGTGGCTTACTGGTTTTCTAACATCTTATTCCTTGGGCGGCTACATCATGTCTGCTCTACTCTGCCCTTCATCTCCACCTTCAGTTTGGATGTACTGCCTAACCTTATTCTGCCTGGCTGTTGGCCAAAACAGCTTTATTTATCAACCAATGAGAGCAATGCATATTCACAGTGTACAGAAAGATCACCCCACAGCAAATTCATATCCTTGTAGAAGTAAAATTGATGTACATTATTTGGTTGCCAATTCTGCGGAGGAAGGGATTTAGCTGTAGTGCTTTTAATGCTTCTATATTCTTGATGGTTTGTGTATTAACTTTCTCTGTACCTTCTTGAAAGTTACACTACATTATTGGGGGATTTATTAAGGCAACTCCATGTAGTAAAAAAAGAGGTTTATTTGGGGGTAACTTACAGCCAGTAAAGGGGTTGGTTACAGGATCTGGGAGAGGTGGAGTGCAGTCCAGCGTGTTCTCTGGAGAACTCTGCTCCATCTACCATCCAGCATCTAGGATTACAAGGAACCAAGAGACCCAGCACATTTGAATCTCAAGTCTTAAGGGCTCCTGTCTTGGCCCTCCCCCAGAGGCAGGTCATAGGTAGGCGTGGCAATTACCGGAAGTCTCACTAGGGGCAGTACTTCCAGGTCAAAGCTGGAACTACCCACTACACTACATCTCTTTCATTCTCAGCTTTTATGGCCTGTAGTCCTATTCTAACAGGAGTTTCCTCTTGTCCTGGACCTTTTATCAGTCCATTCTGAGCTCTTCCCAGCTCACTGAGCAAGCTGCACTAGAAGGTCAGTATCCAGTTCCAGGGTGGTCCTTGAAGTGCCTCTCGCCCTCCCTATTCCCTGTTTATTCACAGGCTGTAGTAGATGCTCATTTCTTTCCATTAATTTTGGCATTTAAAAATGTATGCCAACATTTGACAAATGTTGATAATTACTGAAGCATGGTGATGAACATAAGGAATTGTGGTATACTATTTTAATTTTATACATTGCAAAAATTGTCCTAATTAAGAGTTTAAAAACAATGTGTGCCATATGGTTGAGTAATTCTTCCAAGTAAAACATTCTTTGTCTCTTTTATACAATATTGTATGGTACATTTATACTTTACTGTGTGTTCATAGTCTGTCTGTGTAGATTCATCTTAACTAACATATGAACTGTCACTTCTGCTGTAGAACTTCACAATTTATTTATTCCACTACTAGTGGGTAGTTAGTTATCCCTATTCTTCCAGTACTACAGAATAGTGCTGCAGTAGACATCTGTGTAGTGTTTGTTGGGTGTTTGATTATATTAATGCCTTCTATCATAAATTATATTCATATTTGTCTTAGGGTTTGTATTGCTATGAAGAGACACCATGACTGTGGCAACTCTTATAAAGGAAAAAACATTTAATTGGGATGGCTTACAATTTTCATAGTCTGACATGGTGTCATGCAGGCAGACATGATGCTGGAGCAGGAGCTGAGAGTCCTTACCTTTTGGCTCACAGACAACAGGAAGTGGTCTTATCACATTGAGTGAAGCTTGAGCAAAGGAGACCTCAAAGCCCATCCCCTCAGTGACACACTTCCTCTAACAAGGCCATACCCACTCCAACAAAGCCATACCTCCTAATAGTGCCACTCATTATGGAGCTTATTTTCTTTCAAACCACCACAATATCTTTTGCCTGTTTTATATATCATTGTCTTTTTATAGTAGATTTTATTTTTGCATGTTTTACATAAAAGCCTTTGTTGTTATGTGTTACAAATACCTCATCCTGGTATGAGTCACACTCTTTTATTGTTTATAATTGCTTTGCTGCCTGATTTCTCCTTTTATTTGGTAATGTAGGGTCTTATGTAGCCAAGGCTGGCCTCAAACTCACTAAGTAGGCAAGGATGGCCTTGACCTTTTTTGGTCTTTACTTCTCAGGTGATTGGATTATAAGTGTGCCCATCACACAGTTTTATGCAGTGCTGGAGATCTAGCCCAGGACTCAGTGTGCTCTCTGCTGACACTTGACCTTCTGAGCTACATCCCCAGCCCTGTCTATGGTCCTTGTTAGTTTCTAAGAAGTTTTGTGCATATTATTAAAATTTTTTTCCCTAGCCCAGCTGTGGCAGTGCACACTTTTAATCCCAGTGCTCAGAAGGCAGAGTCAGGCAGATCTCTGGAGTTCTAAGCCAACCTCGTCTAGATAGGGAATTCTAGGCCAGCAAAGACTATATAGCAAGACCCTGTCTTGACAAAACAAAACAAGACATTTCCCCTAGTTCCATGTAATGATTGCATTGTCTTGTTTTTCCTTTAAAATATTGAAAGGGTTTTGCCTATAGTTTACTTTTATGCCTGCCATATAGTGTGAGGAAGGGGCCTGGTTCTATACTCTTCTTTACAGATGGTTTCCATGCTTTTCTGTCTCAAATGTTTCCATTTTCACACACTGACTTAGGTTAACTATGTCACACACTGAATTTTCACATGTCTCCTTGCTTGTCTGTTTCATTATTATTTGTGGAGTTGGGTTCCATGTTTAAGGTGCTTCACAGGACAGAAATCCACATTCATGTGTTTGCTATGTTGGGTCTATAAGAAATATAAGTCTGAAAATTCACCTAAATACAAGCTGTCTTAAGACATTTCTGTGTTATATGAGAGGCAGAGACGATGATGATTACAAACATTCACCACCTTAACAGGTACCTACTGGATCCCAGATATATGCACTGGTGGTGATCCAGCTGAGAATGAGACAGCTTGCTCTCCATACAGTGTTGTTCTCCATACAGTGTATGGCACTGCTGTCAGAACCCAGGAGGAAAAGAGACAATATTTTCATGACCAAATTTAGGGTATTGTCTTCAAAGTGTATTCTTTTCACCACATTATTAGATTCATTTGGATTGCTATATGTTAAGGATCCTGGGGTCAACCCTACATCTGCTGGGTCTTAGAGCTGATACTCAGGGGTGTGCATGTAGGCCTCAGTCTTATGTACTCTAACATTCCTGTTCCACTTGTTTGGTGAATCAGACAGAATATGGTCTGAACATTTAAAAAGAATGACGAAGTGGAACATAGAATGGAGCTGACAGTTGCTTCACCTCATCCTGTTCAACACACTACCTGCTGAACTGAAAATGGACCCTGGTGATGATAAGCTACTTATACTTAATAAATAATGCATTTGGAGACAGAATTGTGGTGGCAAAAGGTGTTGATGCCAATAAGCAGTGCAGATGAGGGCAGAATAAAATGTCACCTTTCTCCCCAGAAAGCAGTCTAAATACAGCACAGATGGAGAAGACTCAGGGAATAGTGTGGAACACTCCTACTTTGTGTCAGTGTGCAACGTGGTGTGTCTCAGATTGGTGTGCAACACCACTGCTGTGTCAGTGTGTAACGTGGTGTCTCCCAGGTTGGTGTGCAACACCACTGCTGTGTCAGTGTGTAAATCAGTTTCTCACCAAATTCATTTGCTGACAGAACAGGTTCCAGATGAAGCAGCGAAAAGCCTTGCTGTTTTGTCTTCGCTCAAAAGACTGTTGGGAAAACAGCATCAGCTTTAGAAAGGACTGTGCCCTGTCTTTCAGGCTGCACCATGAAGTAAATGATACGGTGCACCCGGAGGGGAAAGCAGGAGAAAGCAGGGACCATGTGGGTGTTGACTGTTGCTTCAAGCCACAGATGCTAGCAGGAAAGGTTTTATTTCCTTTTCCTGTGTGTGCATGTGTTTGTGTATGGAAGTGTTCATGTGTCTACACATGTGCATGTGGGGCATGTGCACATATGCATGCATGCATGTGGAGGACAGAAGTCATTGTCAGGTGTCTTCTTAACTGCTTTGCACCTCAGTCAAAATTAAAAAAAAGAACTATTATGTGCATGAGTATATTGGCAACATGTATGTATATGTACCACACGTGCCTGGTCCCTGTAGAGGTCAGAAGAGGATGTTGGGTCCTCTGGGACTAGAGTTATAGACAGTTGTGAGCTGCCATGGGGTGCTGGGAACCAAACGCAGGACCTCGAAAGAAAAACAGGTGTTCTTAACCACTGAGCCATCTCTCAATCCCTTCCACCTCATCTTTTTGAGATAAGGCTCCCACCACACATGGCACTCACCAATTCAGTCAGCAGGCCGCTGCCATCCCGGTCTCTGCTTCCACATCCCTGGGCTCACAAGTGTGCTCCTGTGGCCAGCTATTGTGTGGCTGCTGAGGGTTTGAAGGAAGGTCCTCACACTTGTGCAGGGAGCACTTGACTCACTGAGCCATCTCACCAGCACCATGCTTTTTCCTTGAAAGATGGTGTCTTAGTTTCTTTTCCTGTCGCTGTGAAAAGATACTCCGGCAATAGCAACTTGAGGGAGAGTGCGTTTGTTTTAGCTCCCATGCAAGG